GTGTCTTCCTTGCTCATGCTGATACATCTTAGCCACGTCCTGCAGTTCTTTCTGAGGATAACATGTTTTCTTCTAGATCAGGCACTGTATTTCTCCACTTGGGCTACCTTGAGACCTAACCCCAGTTATTGGTCCACAGGCAATGAATGGAAGCAGAGGCAGAGCTTGAAGAGAGCAACATCATTTTGTCACGGTCACTGTCAAGAATCTAATTTCATCCAGATCTGGAGAAGGAGACAGAAGCAACACATTCAGGTTGCTATCAGTTAACTGATGGAATATTTTGGATGAAGTAAGAGAAGCCAAAGAATGTATCCTGAAGCTCAAGGCTTCTCCCTGCAGGTTGAGAAGAAGAGGTAGTGGCAAAGTATGGGTGATACTGATATCGTCATATCTTTGGCAATTCTTGTGTTTTAGATTTGTCTTTTGTAAATAGTACATGCAACTTAATGTAATTCAGTCTGACAATCTTTGTATTTTTAATCAGGGAATTTAAATATTCACATGTAACCTAATATCTGATATTAGGTTTAAATCTGCCATCTTTCTCAGCTTTTCAGTTTGTGCTGCTTGCTTTATATTTCATTTCTTCCATTTCTTGCTTCATTTGCATTGATTGAAGATTTTTAAAATTTATTCCAGTCCTATAAGTTCTTGTAGTGGTTATACTAGATATTGCAACATAAATACTTGACTTACAAAAATTACAATATTAGTTGGGTTTTTCCCTTCATCCTGGACAATGCATGACCTTAAAACGCTATAACTCTGTTTTGCTCCTGACTTAATTATCTCACAGTGTATTATAATTTTTTGTATAATTCTCCACAGGACATTATTTTTATTGTTGTATATAGTTTTATATATTAATATTCATTTATACCTATCATTCTTTCTTGCATTTCTGGCCTTCTACCTGGTATCCTATCCTTTTGCCTGAAGGCTGTAATATATTAGTTCAGATCTGTTAAGGATGAATTCTGCCTGTTTCGGTTTGTCTGAACATGTCATATATATCTTAGGAATAGACTTCAGAGTTGGCAGTTATTTTCTTTCAGCATTTTGAAGTTATTATTTCATCGTCTTTTGGCTTCCAATGTTGCTGTTAAGAAATTAGCTGTTAGTCTAGTGATTGGTCCTTTGATGGCAATTCATAAATTTTCCTTCGGCTGCTTTTAAGATATTTTCTTTGTTTATGGTCTTTAACAGATTTAATAGAAAGCGCTTAAGTTTTCTTTCATTTAACCAATTTTAGGTTTCTTAAATCTGTCAATTGATGTATTTAATTATTTTTGGAAAAGTCTCAGCAGTTAACTCTTCAACTTGCATTTTTGTTCTATTATCTCTCTCTTCACCTTCTGGGACTACAATTAAGCACATATTAAATCTTTTTATGTGTCTTTCGTGTAAGTGCCACAGTCTGAAAAAAGATAAGCACAGAGAGTAAGCATTTCAAAGCCTCTTAGCAATTGGCAGAATAATTTTATGTTTTATGAATCTCTTAAAAATTTGGGTTCATATTTGGTATGTCTTTTTATTATTTCCTTGTTCTAATTTATTTAAATTGCATTTTGAAAAAGTATTGGTTTGTGATATTTAGATTTTAAAAACTTCATTAAGAAAGTGCTTTTCTATTTCTCTTGTACTCTATTTTAATTTTCCCTTTACTTTTTGTCTCCATGCTTCACTCTGGATATTTTCTTCTACATGACAAATTCCCTCTTCAGTTATGTGCAGTTGACTATTAAATCCATTCATCTGTGTATTTAACATATGTCATATTGTGTCTTAATTGGTTATTATTATTTTTCTTCTAGTATTTTCATTGGCTCTTTTTAAAAAACAGTTTTCAGTTCTCTGTCAAATTTTTCAAGGTTGACTTTCATCTCTTTCAAGAAATTAAGTAAAGTTGTTTTCTTTAAGTCGGTATCTAAAAACTAATATCCGAGCCTCTGTATTCTTTGGCTGTGTTTTCTTGGTTTTCATTCATATGGTCTTGTGTCCTTCCTTTGTGTGTATGTGTGTGTGTATGTATGTATTCAGATATTTGCAGTGTGAAGGAAAGGGCTTCATACTCTTTCCTGCTCTCTGTGGTATCTTTTATACCTCTGGTTGCCTTATCTGAAGAAAACATGAGGTTATAAATGTTTGTTGTTTTAAGCTGTTTAGTTTGGAGTTATTCGTTACTTAGCAATAAATAATGACTACACTTGGGTTTGAATACCAGAATTGCCCTTTATTAGCCTTGTGTTCTCGGACATATCACTTCACCTTTTACAGCCTGTTTTCTTTTTTTCAGAATGGTAATAATACCTACTAACAGTGCTGTTGAAGCATAGTAAATGGTATCTAGTAAGTTCTTAATCACCATTTTAATTTTTATATTACTTTTATTATTAGGTAAAGTGAATTCTTAAGAACAAAGGGTGCAATAGAGCAGCTATGAAAAGCAAGCACAAAATCTCGCAAAGAAAAGCCACCTTGGGCCAGCCACTAAGTGTAGAGGCAAGGAGCTTCATCCACTTTCCTAGACTCTAAGAACATCATTGTGTCATAGCCCACATATTGAGGATCATGAATTGTCCAGAAAAAGTCAGTTGGAATCTATGGACTGTTTTTATTTCCATTTTAAAAAAGATAAGAATCTCACTAAAATATGTAATCCATATTTCTTTGTCTTCTTTAACAATGTGTTTATTCCTAAAGAAATTTCGGCAATCTAGGAAATCCCTTTTCTTTGGAGCAGTGGTTCTCAAACTATTGTGCATCAGACTCATCCGGAGGGCTTGCTAAACACAGATTGCTGGATCTCACCTCCAGAGTTTTTGATTCAGCAACTTTGTGGTGAGGCCTGAGACAATGCATTTTTAACAGGTTCCCAAGGGGATGCCAATATGGTTGGTCTGGGAACAACATTTTGAGGACCCCTGTTTTAGAACATTTTTGTCCCTGATAAATGAATCATTATAGTGCTAAAGAACCAGGAACAGTGATACTTAGGCAAAATATGGAGTAAAATAAAATCCTGTGCTTTATTATGATATGCAAGGCCCTGCATGGTGTAGGCTTTGTCTAGCTCATCCACTTTATCTCACATTGTGTTTACTGTTTTCACATTGGCCTTCATTCTGCTCCTCAAAGACACCAAGCTCATTTCTGTTTCAAGGCTGCCCTTGCTGTTTTCTCTGCCAAAGGCTCTTCTCCCCCAGACCATGGCTTTGTGTTATCACTGAGAGCCCAGCTCCAAATGTCACCTTTCCAGAGAGGTGTATTCTACCTAAAGAAACCATTCTCTATCATACTTCCCACTATTCTATTTTATTTTTTTCATTTATCGTGATCTAAAATTGCCTTTGTTGTCTACAGTCATGGCACCTTGAACATGCCCAATCTCATCTGATCTCAGAAGCTAAGCAGGGTCGGGCCTGGTTAGTACTTGGGTGGGAGACTACCTAGGAACACCAGGTACTGTGGGCGTTAAAAATAATAATAATAAAAATAAAAATAAAAAAATGAAGTTGACTTTGCATTTGCTCATTGGAAAATTTCAGTCTAGCAGACACCTGGCCTCTGAAGTTCTTTGCCTGGAATGAAGCCTGGTATGTTGTAGATTCTCACTAGGTATCTGTCGGTTGGAAACATTGATGTTTGAGATGAGCCTCTTACTTCGTAACTTAGTTTCTGAGGGGGGATTAAGAACATTGAGGGGAAAAAATGGTAACCTGGGGAATATAGAATGTGGCCCCTTTCCCTCCTGCCTTCCCACATGTTACAGCTGCCAGAATTCTACCCAGCTTACAATGGGAAGGAAAGGGGCTTGTATTTTCCCTGACCCTGCAGTGTCTTCTGTACCCTTGGTTACCTCATAAGAAGACAAGATGGTGACTTAGGCAATAGTTTTCACTCTCAAGGATTCCAGAGAGTTGCTAAATGGGTCATTATTCTATGTATCCAAAACACTCCTAAATTGTATAAGTGATTCTCTTCAGGAGGGCTGGCATCTGCCAAGTTGTCCTCAGCTACAGTGAGGGAAGGAGCGCTGCTTTCCTACTTCTGTTGTGTGCCAGGTGGGCTCCGTCTATAGGTACCTCCTGGGTACCTCCAAGTTGGGGGTGGACCTGATCCATCCCATTGGTGAGAATACGGGCTACTAAAATGAATAAAGAAGCAAACCTGCCCACTCAGATATTTTAAAGTTGTATTTGTTTTCCTCCTAAAGGTTTGCTCATTAAAAATAAAGTGCCTGTGCCAGTCTGGCTACAGACAAGACCTGGACATTCTCTCCACAGACAATTGCTGGTGGTCTGAACTGACTCACCCCCATGCCCTTACCTCTCTGTGGCTCTGCCCCTGGCGCCTGATCTTGGGAGGTTGGCATTCTTGCAGTAATCTCAGGCTGCTGCCATGAGCCCTGGGCAAAAACAACAGGGCTTTTTCTAGGGAATTCAGGAGTGAGCCTCATAGTCTAGCCACTGGCTTTTACTGCTGTTTGCATGAGGTTTGGGGGAGAGAGAGTTTTTCCCAAATAAGGAGGTTTGAGAGTCCTCTTGGGTGGGGATGCTCTGGATCCCCACAGTACTAGGTTTGGAAATGCTTACACAGACACATTTCCTATTTTATCTGTCCTTTAGATAGGCATAAGGAACATTCCAACTACACTAATTTCTTTCACTTCTGCCCTTTGTCCATGTTAAAGCTGGTTAGAGGCACTGGTACTTGATTAGTGACTTTGGCATTGCTTGCATACCTTGTTGTGCCAGGAACAAACTAAAGATGAATTTGACAAAAAGCAGAGGTTGTGGGTAGGCGGCTTTGGCAGCTTTCGGAGGAGCTGCCTTCAGGGTTTTGTCAGGCTGGCTCGTCCTCCTCTCAAGCTTTCCTGTGTTTGTGTGGGGGTTCAGTTCACAGTAGCTGGTTAAGCACCTACTCTATTCCAGGCACTCTTCCTAGGTAGGTGCTGGGGATGCCACGACCAATAGAATTTTCTTTTTGCCTTCTAGGAGGTCAGAATCTTATTGGAAAAGGGACCTGTGGTGGTGACTTCAAGCTGGCTACGTTATCCTCACTCCTGCGCTCAAATTTGGGCTGGTCCTGTCACTAGCTTTGACCAGTGGGCTGTGATGGGAACAGTGTTGCATAATCTCCAAGGCTGGGCCTTAAAGGATCTGCAGCTCTGGCTTTTGCCACTCTTAGAGTACTTCTTCCTGGAAGCCAGCCACCATGTAAGGAACCAGACCTCCCTAAGAGCACCATGCTGTGAGGAAGCCCAAGCGAGTGGCCTGGAATGAGAGTGTGAGAGCAGCACAGAAGCAGTTCATGTGAGTGCAACCTCCATGGGCCTTCTACTCAGCCCAGTGAGCGAGTAACCTCAGCTAAAGCCCCATGGAGCAGGAAAACCACCAGTCAAGCCTTGCCCAAATTCTTGACCCATAGAATTGTGAGCAGATAAAATAGCTATTTTAACCCATTAAGTTTGGGGACAGGTTGTTACACAGCTATAGATAAATGAAACAGACACACATATTCTTAAAGATGGATGTTATAGGAACACAGAAGAAGGGACCTGAGCCAGCCTGTGATGATGAGAGGATGGTCATGGAATGCTTCCCAAAGGAGGTTGGCTTGAGTAGAATCTTTTTTAAAGACCAGACTGGAAGAAAGGTTAAAGCTGTCTAGGTACAGGCCAATAGAGCAAAATAGCATGGAGATGATTAAGTGTGTGAGGGATCTTCAAGCAAGTATAAGGCAGGGAGTAATGGATAATGTTGTAGACGTGTTAATAATAATAATAATAATAATAATAACAATAGTAATAATAAAATAATGATAATACTAATAGGAGAACATTTATTGAATAGTTACTCTGTGCCAGATATTGATCTAAGGCTTTATATGTATTAACTCATTCCATTCCCACTACAACCCTATGTTATTATCCTCTTTTTACATTAGAAGAGAATGAGGCACCAAGAGAGCAGCAACTTGTTCAAGAGCACGTAGCTGGCAAATGCAGAGTAAGGATTTGAACCCAGGCAAGGGCTTGGAGAATTTTGTGTGCCTCCTAAAGAGCATGGGATTTGTTCTGTAGGTTATGTGAACTGACCCAGAAGTTTTAAGTAAGAGAGTGACATGGTCACATCTGCAGTCTTTGTTATTTTCTTGACTTTGGTTATTTTCTTTGCCTGTTATCTATTTCTCTATAGTGACTAGCGGTGAATTCTTTATAACAAGCAGAGCCTGTGAGCTTATCTTTGAAGGAAACAAGGAAGAGGGAGGTATAGGGGACGTGTGCTACTCCACAGCTGGCCATGGGGGTGGAAGGGAAGACAGAACGGATGTTCAAAGAATGGATGAGAGAATGGATGTGGTGGCCACCAAGAGAGGAAAGCGGGCCGCATCCTTGACCCCGCAGAAAGATGAGAACAGCAGCATATGGGAGCCGCCTGTTCTAAGAAGATCTTGGAGGCCGAGGCACAGAAAGGCTTATGGGCTTTGCACACAATCTCCCTTTATTTCTTCCTCCCCATGGTCTTTCAGGTGATTAACGTCAAAATATTAAAAACAGCTGTTGGGTTCCCAGCAGCAATTAGCCAAGAAGAGAGCATTTCACATAAATTCAGAAATGCTCATCTGGCCATGGCCATTGCTTTCTGAAGGGATTCTCATGGGAAAGCCATGGAATAATTCTTCTGCACAGATCATACCCACTTTCTCTCTGTCTCCTGCTCTGTCTACAAAAGGTGGTAAAGCAAATTCAGTAGAGCCTTAATCTGTGAGTAGACTTGTCACATCCTCCTTCTAGTATATTTTGTGCAAGCAAGCGGGGAAGAGACAGAGTGAAGAAAGGTCTGGCTCAAATTCTAGTAGCAGCTACGAGATCTGGCTCTTAGACTTAGGTTGGCTGACCCTTGCTTTGTGTGATATGGGCAAATGTGGGAAATTCTCTAGATCCAAGGCACTCATATGTAATATGAGGGTGTTGGATAAAGTCTAATTTCATCATAAACGATAAAAACAACCATAGCTAATGTTTACCAAGCATGCACTAAGAGCCTGACCCTATGCCAAGCACTTTGTACACTTTATTAATCTTCACAATTACCCAAACACAATGAAACTCACTGCAGCCTTTCTTGATCATCCTTTCTACAGCTCTCTGTATCAGCTATCTATGGCTGTGTAACAAATTACTTCAAATCTTAGTAGCTTAAAACAACAATAAAAATTTATAGTCTCATAGTTTCTGTGGGTCATGAATTTCAGAGCAGCTTGGCTGACTGTCGATAGCTTGGGGTTTTTGTGAATATGCTGGAACTGCCGGCATCACCTTCAACATGGCAAGCCAGCATTGGCTATTGTCAAGGTTGGTGCTGGCTATTGACAAGAGACTACTTTCATTACCACCTTGCCATGGGACTGTCCGTGAGACAGCTGAATTCCCCCACATAAGGTGATCCAAGAGAGAGCAAAATGGAAGCTTCAGTGTCTTTTATGACCTATCCTTGGAAGTCACACACCATCATTTCTACAATATTCTACTGGTTACGTTGGTCAGCTCTATTCAGCGTGGTGAGAACTAAACAAGGGCAGGAATACCAGGAGGCAAGGATCGGCAGCAGCTATCATTGAGGCTGGCTATCACATATTCCCCTTAAATTTCTATTGTATTACTGTGTTTTACTTTTTTAAAAAAATTAATTAATTAAATGTTTTGTGGTGACATTGGTTAACGAAATCCGATGTTTCAGCTGTACGTTTTAATGGTAAGGCATATATATTTACATTGTATGTTTGCCTCCCATAGTTAGATTTCTTTCTGTCACCACATATTTGACCCCTTTAACCCCATCTACCTCCCCTCTCTCCCCACCCCCTACCATCTGGTAACCACTAATTTTCTTTCTGGCTTATTTCACTTAGCATGATTATCTTGAGGTCCATCCATGTTGTTGCAAATGGCACTATTTCATCTCTTCTTATGGCTGAGTAATACTCCATTGTATATATGTACCACAGCTTCTTTAACCAATCCTCTATCATAGGACGCTTCAGTTGCTTCCATGTCCTGGCCACTGTAAATAATGCTGCTATAAACGTTGGTGAGCAAAGATCTTTTCGGATATGGACTTTCAAGTCTTTGGAGTAAATACCCAGTAGAAGGATTGCTGGATCATATGGTAGATCAATTTTTAGTTTTTTGAGGAACCTCCATACTGTTTTCCATAGTGGGTGTACCAATTTGCAGTCCCACCAGCAGTGTATGAGAGTTCCTTTTACTTTTAATAGCACTTATTTAGAATCATCTTATTTGTTTGCCTGAGATTCACATCCTCCCCATGAGAATGTAAGCTTCCTGAGAGCAGGGATATCATTGTTTTTTTATTGCTATATCCTCAGTGCCTAGAACAATGCCAGGTACATAGTTGATGCTCAGTATTCAGCATGTGTTAGGTACTATTACTATGCCAGTTTTATATACAGAAACAGCAGCTCAGAGAGGTTAAATAATTTGCCCTAAGTCACATCAATAGCAGCCAGGGTACCACCTTATGTGTAGGGACTGATATCAACCGTCTACACCGTAGCATTCAGTGATTCCAGTGCTGCCAATATGCAAGTGGAATTATATAAGTGGAAAGCAGGACAGCATTCAGGAGGAATGCTGGGAGAATTCCTTGGAGATTGGGAAATACTCAGGAATTATGAAAGTGTCTATATAAATAGATGTATGTATATGGTTGAGATGGGCAGTGAGTGTGTATGTGTGTGTGTGTGTGTGAGAGAGAGAGAGAGAGAGAGAGAGAATATGAATTCGTGGATATAGTAGTTGGGTCATTAAAAGGGGGATAATGTACTCTGAACAGCTGTTATGACATAGACCTAGAGATAATACTTTGACCTCAGTCCTATTTGCCTCAAAATTCTTTGAAAAATTTGTCTCCCAGGAACATCCTTATTAAAATGATTAAGTAAAATTTCCTTTAAAAATCCCACAAGTAATTTAAGTCATTATTTGACTAGAAAGCACATTGCCAAATCATACATGGATTGCTAACTTGATTATGTTTCTGGGAATTATCCATTTTTTGGATTATTTGCCAGAAAAAGAAAAGTACTGTCTGTTGGCCACCCACTCTTCATTCTCTTTCCCAGCCTCCTGAGGGTGGGACCCTGGTATTCATCAAACACACAATGGAGTCCTCTTAGAACAATGTCTCACCCACCCGCTCCCTTGGCCTGGGAGATGGAAATTTGGGGGAGGAATGAAGGGAAATGGTTATAAAAGACCTTCGCTTACTTTCCCTCTTCTGATGAATTCTGGGTACTGAGTTTTGGGTGTTTGTCTATGTGGTGGGGTCTTTAGTCTCTGAGTGAGAACAGGGCGAGATCCAGGGGGAAGCTACAGAGGTTGGCTGCTGAGCCTGGCTCTGATCTAGCCCTAAAGCAAATGTGGTGGTGGTCTCTGAGTTTCTTCAAGGCCAACCCAATTCACCAGAGTAGGAAAGCAGAAAGAGATTCTGCACAGGAGGCCTACTCAAGGAAAACGAAAGGGTTTGCATTTAGCTTGAAAGTATCCTCAGGAACGTGTGGGTAGCTGTGGTTAGTTGGACCCCAACCAGACCTGGTTGAAAGATCGAAATAAAACTGCTTCTCAAAGGAGTTTTAGTGAGTTTGTCTTTACTAACAGTCTCTAGATAGACACCAAATAACCACGTGTCAGGAGAATGGCATTCTCTGTGTGCTTGCCAGTCAGGCCAAAGTTTATCCAAGTAGGCCCCACCTTCACTTTTCTATGACTCTCTTATGAGGGGCTACAGCACAGTGGTTAAGAGCACAGTGGTTAAAACCTTAGACTTTAGGTTTGTACCCTTGGCTTCAACATTAAGTGACCTTAGACAAGTTACTTAAATTCTCTGTGTCTCCATTTTCTCGATGTAAAATGGGAATAATAATTGTTCTTATTTCACAGAGTAGTTATATAATGAAGTTGATGTAATACATGTAAAGCTCTTAGAACAGTATGTGTCATTCAAGGTTTCGTTTTTAAGACACACAAATGGAGCAATATATATTGCTACGTGTCAAGTGTAGGAGAATGGAGAAGAAGACCGGTTCTGGCACCCCGCCATGAAACTTACATTCCAATCTATATTTGGGGTGGTAGGCAGAATAATGCCCCCCCACCTCCCCCACCCCAAAGATGTCCACGTTCTAATCCCTAGAACCAGTAAATATGTTAGACTATATGGCAAGGGGGAATTAAGGTAGCGGGTAGAATTACAGTTGCTAATCTGCTGACTTTAAGATAAGGAAAGTA